TCTATAAATTTTCTTAGAAGTAATCTCTTCCTTCAGGTTACTCTTTTCACCCAAACAATATTCTATAAATTTTCTTAGAAGTAATCTCTTCCTTCTTCTAAATTTCTTGTTTTTTAAAGCCAACCGGATATCAGGATAAGTGGTTGAAGACTTGCAAATGGCTGAGATCCTCTGTTGTATAAATTCGATGTGTGCACGTAACGTAAGTTTTTTCTAAATTTTTTCTACTCCCTCTATTCATTTTTACTAGTTTTAATTTCATTTTTTTATTTTTTAAACATAAAACTTAAACAAAAAAATTTAATAATAATAATTATTAAATTTTTATCCAAAATTTATATCTTAAAATTTTTAAATTAAAATTAAAAATTTTTAAAATAAATAAAGGAAATAATTTATTTATATATTGTGCTTTAATGGAAATTGAAATTTAAAGGCTTGTACTACTATCAAATTATATATTTGAACTAAATAAATAAATAAAGAATCCAGCTCGAAACCTATTCTTGAGCCATGAACTAAAAAAAGTCTAACGTTATAGATAGAGATGGTAACTGTTGGTAAACAGAAAGATTTGATCAAATCTTAGAGGTATTGCTAATGAATAGGAATGGTTTGGTTGGTGAACGTACGCATCTATACTTGTTCTGTTCCGAATGTATTGGTTGGACAATGAAGAATGATAGGTAATGTCAGTACAACTAACTTTTAATGTATATAATTTTTTCTTTAAATGTAGATTAAATGCTATTATTACTATCTCTAAAATTCTTGAGTAAAACTAAAAATCTGTTGGTCTGAATGAAAAAAATTTAATTTTCTTAAATAAGATTTTAATTTTGAGTCTTATGAATACAAAAACAAATGTTGAAAGAGTTTATCCAAATAATCTAACGTAATTCAATTATGAATTAATCATCACCCAATATAATTACCAAATATGAAGATGTTAATAAAAAAAAAATCCTTGAGTAAATCTCCGCTCATCACTAAACAGTGAACTATAGTACATTCATAAAAGGGGGAAAGAAAAGATTCTCTACATTCAGGTTCCTGCTTTAGCATCAGAGATATTCCCGAATGGCTGAAACTCTATCTTTGTGAACATGCTAAAAAATGAAAGCAAACCCCATAGAAATAAGAGACAACAACCAATGGCTTTACATTGGGCTTGCTATTCATCTCCCATGAGCAGCATCCGGGGTATTTCCAGGGGGGGTTGTCCCTGAGAACATTTGCATCACTGATCTCAGAGCTCCAGTTAAGTCCTCTGGCATTTGCTCTCCAAGATTAAAGTTGATATTCCCATCAATTCTTATTCCAGGTTCGTCAGATCCATTAACGTTGTTAGTTTCTGCCTGTCTGTTTTGAGAAGTCTGTCCCTGGGTTGCACCCATATTCATGAACATGCTTGCAAGGTCGGTGGGAAGGGCACCTAAGTTGAAAGGCATTGTGAAAGAAGGCGGTACACCATGACTCCTTGACCCTGCAGCTGACTGGTTATTGGATCCTTGATTGTTATGACTAGATCTTGTATTCTGTACGAGATGTGTTTGAGGATGAAGTCCACGGTTTATAAAAATGCCCACATATCAATGCTAAACCATGATGATTCTAAACCATTAGTGAACGATGGCAAAGAGAAAACATGAGTCTCACATAAAAAAAAATGCAATACTTCCCATATACTCTCTTTTTTTATTATTTTGCTAGAATCCTCTCAAAACCTTCAGATTAATATTTTAATATGAAATTCATGTATATGACAATAAAGTATCAATACGATGTTAAAAACCTTGTTTCAACAGTCACATATTCCAAGTCTTAGGCAGTGGTAGCATCCCTCATTAGAGATATTGCCTTCATGTAATTGAGACTGTTAATAAATGGAGGTCAGAGAAAAGGTTAGGTCTGTCACGAAGCTTATTACTACATCTTTCTTTCTTCTGCTCCCTTACACGGTCATCTTCTTTCTTTCATGGTTAAATCCCCATTTTGGTCCCTGAACTATTGTACGGACCCCCGATTTGGTTCCTGAACTAAAGAAATCCCTAATTTGGTCCTTAAACTATTGTACGGACCCCCGATTTGGTCCCACTGTTTATAATTTGGCCTAAGTTGGTCCTTGAACTATTGTACGGACCCTCAATTTGGTCCTTACTGTTTACAATTTCGCCCCAATTTGGTCTCTGAGCTATTATTTAACAGAAGGACCAAGTTGGGGTTAAATTGGTAAACAGTAGGGACCAAGTTGGGCATCCGTACAATAGTTTAGGGACTAACTCGAGAGTTTGTACAATAGTTTAGGGACCAACTCAGGGGTCCGTACAATAGTTCAAGGACCAAATTAGGGATTTCTTTAGTTCAGGGACCAAATCGGGGGTTCGTACAATAGTTCAGGGACCAAAATAGGGGTTTAACCTTCTTTCATCTACCCATTTCTTTTTGAAGATAGAGACTATTTGTCAAATTGCATAAACAGCTAGCTATTATGGCTTCAGACTAAACTAACATGCATCAGATTTCGGTTATTAAAAACCTAATATCCATACCAAAGCAACTGAGAGTACATATTACCTGATTCTGTTCTCTCCCTTGAAGCTCTTCTTTCAATTTCTGCTCAGCAACCTATATTTCATAATAAAAAATTTAAAGTATTAAGAAAAGAAGTGTAATGGTACTGAAGATTTCATAATGAGGGACATAGGAGCCTACCCGGATGTTTTCTTTAACAGATTCATTATTTGGATCCAACAGCAAGGCTACACATGAGAAATAAATAAAAAGAGATTAAAAACTAAATTAGACTTGCATATTTCATCACAAAACAATGATACAGTCAATGCTATTGTATCCAAGTCCATTGATCTATTCATACATTAAAAAAAAAAAAAAAAAAGCATGGGGCCTTGATCATTCTCCATTTATTATGAAAATCAACACATCCCATGTTTAGACGGGGTTTCTAATCAACGACAAAGTCTTAACACTAAACTCATAATCAATAAGCTCAAAAAAAAAAAAAAAAAAGGCTTGGTAAAAAAGAATTAGAGACTTGGCTCTAATGTACACTCTAGAACTGAACAAAATATTTCCTAAAAAGGGTACACAACCTAATTGTGAGCACAAACCATGCTACTTGGTGTGCAACACATTGCATATTCAGGTAACTCCCTTTGCAGCAAGCAGAAAGGGAGACAGATGCAAGTGAAAAGAATACATAGATCAATAGATCAATGATATAGTTGACTGATGGCAGACAATGTAGCAAGAAAAATAACATCATGGCTCCAGGATGCATCACCAGACAATAAAACTGATATTCTTTGCCACAGATTCACAGTTCTCTAGAACCCTCTGCTATGGTAACGAAATAACTTTCACCAACCTTTCTTAAATCCTTTCTCAATAGCATCACTATAGTTGCCTTGAGCATAATAAGCTAAACCAAGACGACTGTATGCCTTGCTATAATTTGGATCGATTTCAATGGATTTTAGACAGTCTCTAACTGCTTCATTGTATTCATGGATTTGTGTGTAAGCAGCTGCCCTGGAAAGCACACATAATATGTCAATACACATGGCAGTTTCATACGAACAAATATCTAAGAATGTGGAAACTTGCTGCAAGAAAACAGAACTAAAATAAAATTTGAAAATCCAGGAGCTCATTCATTGATGTCATAATAGGTTTCTTCAAATATTTTCTAAAGAATAGCTGTCCCTTTGCAATGTTAGCAAACAAGAAATATCCTGTCCTTTGACTCATTCTTCTCTTAGTGGGGACTATTTAAGCAAAACTCTAACCAATAATACAGTAAATGGTATAACTGATTAGAAGGTCTAAATCCAAATCTAACAAAAAAGACGTATGAAGAAAAAAAAAAACTTTACTATATATAAAAGTTGAAACTTAAAAGCAGCCTACATAGTATAATGAAATTGGAAGAGTGAAGTAGCATATTGTTAACTATGGAGTTTTTCTTTTCTTTTTTCTTTTTTCCTTTTTTTTTTTTTTTTGGCTGTTACTGTGGAGTTAATTGATTATTATCATCTTGCTATCTAAATAATTAAAAATATTGATCAATCTAAATTTATCCAAGGATATAAGCAAGTACAGTGCCCTAATTCTTTGCTAATTAGTTGAAGATATCAATATAGTAAGTAATAAGATCAACATAGAACCGATCAGCAACATGTAAATTTTTATAAAGCACCTATTACAATAATAAACTGCATTGTTTTCGCAAAGTGCAATAGCAATAGAATACAACTCTATTGCATCACGGTACAGCTTTGACTGCATCACCTTGTTTCCTGATATCAGAGATAATAGAAAACAAGAGAATCAGCTTTTCCACAGGAAGAAACATAAGAAATTCTTAAAGTATCCAATTTAAGTAAAAAAAGAATTGACAAATATTGATGCTGAAATGCAAAAGTCCATTCACACTGGTGCAAATTAAAAGAGTATATAGCAATGAGTGCATGGAAAAACTAGAAAGAGGTAGCTTTTTTCTTAAAAATAGTGAAGATTTAGATTTATAACAATAAACAAATAAAACAAGAAAAAATATGCTAAACTTTTCAAATTTCTTAACTAAATTCTAGAATTGAACACTCAGGTTAATTCAACTAAAGGCCTCAAAAAGTTCATTACCTTGACATTTTAATGTTTCAGCCAGGTTCTTTCGGTCATATGCTTGACATCCAGACCTTTCCATCTCCTGATATGGCAGATCTTCACATTAACAAAAATGTGGTGTAATATAAATCGCAAGAAATTTAATAGTGGCTGAACAGACAAGTAGAGTGTTTACAAACTAAATAATTTATTAAAACATGTCTATGACTCCATTTAGCTAGTTGAATAGAAATTCAATGCTACAAATCAGGTTTCAAAAACTTTTATTGTTGGAAACAGAATAATCTAACACTAAATCAGAATCTTAAGTAGCAAATCTGATAAAAAAAATTAAAAAAAAAACCCTAAATGAGAACAATAATTTAGCAACCATTCGATCATGCATCAGTTGCTGTTTCACCACACATGAAGCACAACAAATGTAAAATAGCAATGCTGTAAATCATACATTTAGAGCATCATGAAATACTTGCGTTGCCTTATCCAGTTGAGCAGGGTCATCATTTCCATCATGAGTGGTCTTAAAAAAAGGGATTTTTTCAAGTGCAGCAAAGAATTGCCCAAAGAGTTCATCTTTTGAGACCCCTGCAGGTGAAATTGGCATTGAACTAGAATTAATGTACGTATAGCCCAAAGCACCAAAATAACAGCAACACTAAAGAACTTTTGAAAGAAAGGGAACTCAATATGTTGAGTTAGTAGACAGAAGCCCACCAATAGCATCAGGCTCTTGTGTCCAAGTCTCCCCCTGTTAAGTCAAACATCCAAAACAAAATCTTATTAATTGAAAAGAAAATAGAAGAAGAAGAAGAAGGATAATTGAAACAAGCTAAAACCATCTGGTGAGAACATCTCATAAAATATAACAACTTATGAGCAGAAGCAGCTTTTATTGTGGACCCTTCAATAACACATAAAAGATCAGGGTTGTATCAAATTCCATAGCTAGAAATAAATTTTTTTCCATATAGGATTATTGCTAGTGTTAATTTTATATCAGCCACCAAGCCACTGCAGTTTTATGCTACAAAAACCTGATGGAAAGATCTATAGGAGATATTTGAGATAACCAAAGAAAACACCCTAGCAGAATGCCACAAGAAGTCAACAATAACAACCTATTGAATGATGCTAAAAGAAACATCCAACTATAGAGAAAACTACCCACATTGTTCCACCAAAAAAATATATATATATACCCATATTGAGTGCAGCAAAATTGGAGGGGGGGAGGAACTAGATTTCACATGATGAACGAAATACATAAGCTCTAAGCCAAATTGAAAAACTAAGGAAAACAAAGGGGAAAAAAAAAGAATAAGGAATTGGAATAAAACCGGAGATTTTGATGCATCTGAAGAATTTCCATGGACAAAATTGGGGGAAGAGGATGAGCTGGGAACATCAACTGAAGTGCCCATTTGACTTATATCCGACTTAATTTTGTGATGTTCACTTTGTTCCAACGAGCTGAACATATCAATTAAAGCATCAGTTTTTGCACCATCATCAACAGAAGCAGAATCAAGTTTGAAAACATCCATCAAACATTCCCTGGCAACCTCGAGGCCTTCAAGATCAACCCCTGGAGCAGGTTCAACTATCCCAAAGGAAACAATATCACCATAAGTAACTATAAGAACCCAAGAAGCAAAGCATAATCAACAGGAAACATCCAACTCGTAACAGAATCTTAGCATATACATACAAGATATTATTAAAATGATACTCCTACAAAAAGCAAAATGCATTGGCGAGATCACATCGAACAATTAGGTATAGATTACGAGAAGTAAAGAGAGATCAATAATGGAGTGTACCGGAGTCGAGGAAGTCTAAGAAGGCGCGGACGATCCGACGGGAGAGAGGAGAATCGGTCTTCAATTTCGCCATCGAAATCCAAGTACTCTGAAACTAATAATTTTGTTTCTCGGTAACTGAGAACAAAGGAGTAAGAGTCGCCGGGCGGGGAAGAAGACGGTCGCTACGAGAAAGTTCCGGGTCCGCTACTATTCCTAAAGCACCAAGGGTGCGTTTGGATTGATGTGAAGCACTTCGCCACAGCTACGGTTACTATGGTTCCGTTAAATGGGTTATGTTGTTGCTGCGATAAAAATTATTTTAACGTTTTGTTATTTATTTATTTTTAAATATTATGAATAAAATATAAT